AAAGTAGATTTGTACTTTCTAATTCCATTCTCACTTATTTAGGGCATGATCCATTGAAATCAACATGTCCCACTGGCTTCAGTAGGTTCTATTCTATATCTGTTCTTATGCCACATTCATGACTATAATATCTGAGGTCCTTCCAGTAATGCATTAAATAACATGGTCATATAACTCTCATCTGTTATTTGTTCTCTCCTCCTCTTCCTAAGTATACAAACATGTAGTGTAGTGTCTTATTTTTGTAGATTTTTTTTAAATACATACATTACTAGGGCTATGTCTAGACTGCAAGCCTCTTTCGAAAGAGAGCGTCTAGACTGCACGTTGAACTTTCGAAAAAGCGGCTTGCTTTTTCGAAAGAAAGCATCCAGTGCTTCTGGATGCTCTCTTTCGAAGAAGCCCTATTTACATTCAAGAACGCCTTCTTTCGAAAGAGGAACTTTTGAAAGAAGGCGTTCTTCCTCGTAAATTGAGGTTTACCGCCATCGAAAGAAAAGCCGCGTTCTTTCGATTTAATTTTGAAAGAACGCGGCTGCAGTCTAGACGCAGGTGAGGTTTTTTCGAAAAAAGGCTACTTCCATCTACTTTTTTCGAAAAAACCCCTGAGTCTGGACACAGCCTATGTGTATATAAGGGAAGGCAAATCAAAAAATGTGCCTTGCGCTTGAATAGGAAGATGATGCAGTTTGTGATGGTCTTTAATTCTTAGGGGAATTTCTTCCGAAGTCTCAGATCAACGCTCAAGAATATTTTGTCTCCTGCACAGACAAGCTTTATATTTGTTTATCTTTCATTATGCCAGAGGGGCATAGTTATTGACTGCCGTTCCCCCTACCCCCAGAGTTTCTGGTGTTTTTTCAGATGTGTTCAAGGATCTCCATGGCCTGGGACCAGTATAAGGACTGAGACCTTGAACTTGATTTGAAATTCCAGGGGAAGTCAGTGTAGTAGAGAGTAGAAAACAAGCCGCAAAGTTCTTGTGGTAACCTGTGTTGCCGAGGAGAATCTCTGTAGAGTTTTGTGTTAGAGTTTCTTAAATGTTGAAGGCTTCATGCCCAAGGTGTACAGCACTGTTGTAGTCAAGCCAAGAAGTGGCAAAGGCACGAATACCTGAGGTTAGACCTAGACGAATACCTGCTAGGACAGGGCAGTCTCCTAGTGAACAAGAGATATTAGAAAGTGCTACTCACAGCTGTTGCTTTGTTAGTACTTAGAGCCCGTGAAGAATCCAAGAGTATTCCTATACTATGAATGGAACTGATGCATCGTGGATGTGTACCTTCAATCAAAGGAGAAAGTGCTATGGCTGCAAATTCCTCCAAATAATTCCCTCTGCCCACCACTGTCTTGTTTGGATTCTGCTCCAGCCAGCAGTGCATCCATGACTTCATCCTGGTGGCAGCGGTGTAATTGTATGTGGTGAAGAACAGGTAGACTTATGTACTATAGGCATATTGCTGGCAGTTGAGTCATGTTTTATGATCATTTCACCTAATGGATGACTGTAGATGTTGAAAAGTAGTGGAGAGACAATTGTTCTTTGTGGGACTTGACAAGTGAGGAGTTTAGTGATGGAAGTGGAGTTTCCTGGCACTTCTCTTTGGATGTGTCACTTCAAAAAGGACTTAACTCATTTTAGCAAACTGCCTTGGATAACAGTTCTCTGTCCAAAGTTATCTGGGGTTAGAAAAGCCCATACCAGTTTTGATAGGACAGCTCAATCAAATGCTATTGTTTCTATTTTCTGATTGGATGAGTGTAATTCTAAGGTTTGGGGGAGGATTCCAAGAAGTCACATGTGCTTTGATTCGCTTAGGCTGTGTCCAGACTCAGGGTTTTTTTTGGGAAAAGTAGCCTTTTTCCGAAATAACTTCCCCTGCGTCTAGACTGCAGCCGCGTTCTTTCAAAATTAAATCAAAAGAACGCGGCTTTTCTTTCGACGGCGGTAAACCTCATTTCACGAGGAAGAACGCCTTCTTTCGAAAGTGCTTCTTTCGAAAGAAGGCGTTCTTGAATGTAAATAGGGCTTCTTTGAACGAGAGCATCCAGACTCACTGGGTGCTTTCTTTCGAAAAAGCGGCTTGCTCTTTCGAAAGTTCCGCGTGCAGTCTAGATGCTCTCTTTCGAAAGAGGCTTGCAGTCTAGACATAGCCTTAGAGAGAGGTAGAAGTATTGGTGTGAGAGCAAGATATAAGCAGCACTAGCTGATTTGCATAAAATGTGGAAAACATAGTTATCAACTTCATGGGTGCTCCAATCCTGAAGCACCCACAGAAAAAAATTAGTGGGTGCTTAGCACTTATTGACAGCTGCACTCTCCCTTCCTCCCCAGTGCCACTCATCTGCTGGCAGCCCTCCCCTCCCCCCATCAACTCCCTCTTCACTCCCAAAGTTTCCCTGCCCACTGCAATCAGCTGTGGAGGGAAAGGGGATGAACAGGGATGGGGCATGTTTGTAGGAGTGGGCACAATTGGGTTAGAAGAGACAGGGCAGGCTGGAGTGGGGATGGGAAGAGGTAGTGTGTGTAGGCATGAGGGAAGGGGTGGGGTTGGAATGTGGCTGGGGGCAGAGTGAGGAGAATGAGCAGCTCCAGACCTGGAGGAAGCCAGAACCTATCATGAAGAAGTCTTTTTTTTTTCTTTTGTGGGACACACAGGTACAAGAAGGATGGAGCAGACACAGATGAAACCTCCTCAGTTGGGAATTAAGCTGCTGCTGCAACCTCAGAGGCAATGCAGTGCTGAGCTGGCAGGTGGTCTCCCCAGTCCCATGGAGAACAGCCATAGTGGAGGAGCTCAGGCAGATACTGGCACCAACTGGAGGGGTTGGTGCCTCCAGAAGGGTTCAGTGCATGCTGCCCGTGTGGCAGAGGGAATGTCAAGGGAATGGCTCTGGGAATTCTGGTTCTAGGAGTGGGTGTTGACAGTCTGGGAAATGGCATTGCCACCACCAGACCCTTTTACTATGCACTCTTCCCAGATCCCACTTGAGGCTGAGATCTGCTGCTGTCTCCTAACAGTATCTCAAGAGGCACGGGCTGGTGCCAAGCAGGCTCAGTCCCAGGTGTCTGGCCAGATTGGAGGCCCAGGCTGGCTACCACTGGGTACTAGTGCATAGAGTAGAGATGGAGCAGAAAAGCAACAACCTCGAACAACAATTCAATTTTGTGGCTCAGGCTCAGATTACATGAGACCCATTTACCTACTCCCATCCTTGAACCACCCAATTCCAGCCCTTTAACTCTCCCTCTGGAGGCATCTACCCCAGTTTCCTCCATCTGCCATGAACTCCACCCTGCAAATCCTTCAATCACATCCTTCCCTGTCTCTAACTCCAGCTTCTGGTTCCTGACAGTCTCTGTGCCAGCCCTCCGATTCTAGTCCTCCCTCCCTCCAACAACCTCAAATCCATTGCTCATTCCACTCCATCTCACGGCTCCAATCCTGCAAATATAGCTGTGGGACTCACACCTCCCCTTCTGTCTCCTAAATACATTCCACCAGTTGGCCCTCACTTCCCGATGGCCAGCTGTAGTGCTTGCTCCTTCTTGCTTTTGAAATGAACATGGTCAGATCCCTGTATACTGAGAAAATAACCCAAAAGTGGAGTGCAAGTAAATCATGGAAAATTTCCCTTGAGCTAACAGTTTATCAGTCCAGACATTTAAAGTAATTATTACTTGCCTATTTTGTCACTGCAGAATTGCTGTGGTAGTTAGTCCACAGAGCTGATCTCATTCAGTATAATTTCAGGAAACGTTAGGTAAGTTTTTGAGACTCCATCCACCTGTACATCTGAGACTCCCATGGTGCCTGATATGTCATCCCCATGACAATTAGGCTACCGGAAGATTTTGTTGCCTAGTGCAGAGTTTAAATTTGATGTTTCTCTCATCACATTCACACACAGAGGAGCTGCTTGTGCATGCGCTGCCATATAGACAAAGGACACATCAGATACATATGTGGCTTGTTTAAATGTCCCATGCAAAGGAACTGGTGAGCAACCTGTGTCAAGCAGCATTCATGGCCATATAATCTATATCATTCCTGGCATGGACACGTGAGAGCTTAACATTCTACTTTCTGGATGTTCGTGCAAAAGTAGACACAAAAGGAATCCAAATATGGTTGAAATGAGTGCATCTTAAAATTCAGAGGGAGAGTATTTGGCTAGCTCAGATACACATGAACACAAAGAGAATTAGTAATGGTGGTGGCACAAAGCCAGGTGAGAAATAGAGCAATACATTTCCCCTTTTATTCTCTCCATAGAACCACTCCTGAACAATCTGCACTAATATCAAATGTTTAATAGAGTGGGTGTATATTTAAAAAGAATTAAGAGGGGACAGGCCATCAAGACTTGTTCAGTGTTTTCAGGCTTCTCTTCTGTTGGAGTAGGATTGCATTGCTGAATGTTCTTTGGAGGTGAGAGAGCTTGTATGGAGGACACTGTAACAAATCAGAATATAGATGCAGAACGATGCTGCTTTTCTGCTCACTAGCTTTGGGGGCATTCTTGCCTGTGGACAGAATATTGGTGGAGGTCTGGGAAGATGTTAGATTACTGCAGTCTAAATATAGTCATCCTTTTTAAGGTCTGATCTAGCTCCACTGAAGTCAAGGGGAGTCTTTTTGTTTACTTCAATAGGCGTTGGGTGTAGGCCTCATATATCTGATTAGGAGCACTGAGCAATTAACTGTAAATGGTGCACATATAATCATTAATAACTGAGTTCCCTTAGTGCAAGAAAGAAATGCATAGTGTTCCTTCATAGTGCAGTGAAGAAAAGACACTCATGATTCCTTGTACTCATATTTCTACAGTACTCATACCTGGAAAAAAATAACAGGCTATTCTAAACTGCTATATTGGAAGTCTTGGAATGCCATCACACAGAAGCAAACAGTTTTATTCGTTCTGTAGTTATTAGAAATTGTTAAATATGCTTTATAGTGACAAAAGTAAAACTTGTTTTTCTTTTAATCTTACAGCTAAAAATGGCAACAAGAAAGGTGAGAAAAACAAGAAAGGGAATGAGAAGATGCCTGATGGTGACTATGAAAGTCGAAATGCCTATCAAGACCTCAGGGAAAGTATGTGGAGAGTTTCTAAAATACTTTTGGAATTCTTGGTTTAGCTGCTACTCTCTCCAGTGATGTTTAAATTAAATGACAAAAGATGCTGAAGAGTGCTATGAAATGTCTAGATGCAGCTGATTATGAAATGGCATGCTGAAATAACCCATGTTAGCCCCATGTGTGACAAAAGATGGGGACCGGAAACCACATTGTGTTAGTGTGGGATGAAGAGAGATACAAAGAAAGGGAAGAAGCCTCGTTCACATTTCCACTAAGGCCTCTTTTAACATCACTGTGGCAGTAAAAGGGACCTTATAGTAAGTTTCCCTCTCTGGAGTTGTGTTTAATGGCAACTTTGTGGAACTGAGAATGAAGCCCAAGATATGTTTTATCATTTATAAAAGAACATTGTTTCATTTTTAACAAACAGTTTGGGGCTTTAAGAATAGTGCTAGATTAAGAGTTTTGGAGAATGAAGTCCTGTCTCTCTGGAACAACAATGGCAAAGGAGTTTTCATTCTGTTGTACCAATATGCCTTCAATCTGACCTGGAGAGTTCACCTCAATTTATGTGAGACTGAACTAGCCAGATGCTAATTGTGGTTTCTGTACTGTGGATACTTGTCCATTGTGACCTGGACTAATATTTCAAACAATTCATGAAAATTAGTGAATTCCATAAGCTGTCATGATTTTCAGTTATTACAAGCCTCAGGTGGAAATGAATCACTGATATACCAAAGAGAGTCTTTGTAATACCTTGAGAAATCCAGTCTTCCTTAAATTTATGAGAATTTATAGCATGGGCATGCTATGAATTTCTATTACTAGCATGGAGACTCAGACCAGTATTGGGAGTACCATCCATCTGATCCTCTCTACTCCTGCCTCCCAGAGTATTTTAAAAAGTGTTCTAAAGTGTTTTAAGAAGTTGGCTTTAAAAAAAAAAGTTTTCAAAGTATTTTCATGTGCAGGTGCATGAATCCAAATTTCATTTTGAATATGTCTGTTCAGTAGCTTCTCATTTATGGAGATAGAAAATTTTGCATCTCAAGTGAATAGTTTCTGATTTATTTTTCTCCCATTGTGACTTACTCAGACATTTTGATTTTCTTTAATGTAAATTGTCCAACAACCGTTTTGTGCGAACATAGGCTGTTTGCAAATTATCTGTAGTGAGTGACTGCCAACAGTACAATCTGACCAAAAATCAACTTAGTATTCCTCTGATTCTCCAGAAGGACTGGCTAAAAAAATAGTAGAGTTGAAATTCTCTATTAGATTAAGGGAGCTTTAATCATTTTGATTACTTTGACTCTTAGAAATTTGCCCATTTTCAAAATATCTTAAAAGGCAAGACAGTCTGGTGGTTAACAGTAAACTGGAAAATTCAGGAGATCTGGGTTCATTTCCTAGCTTTCCCACAGACAATTTCTATGGGTACGTCTAAACTACATGGCTCTGTCGACAGAGCCAAGTAGATTAGTTTACTCGAAAAAGGGAAATGAAGCAGTGATTTAAATAATCGCCATTTCATTTAAATCAAAATGGCCTCCGTGCTGCACTGATCAGTTACTTGTCGGCACAGCGCGGCAGTCTAGATGGGGATCTGCCAGCCCCAGAACCCTTCGTCGGCAGATCCTGTAAGCCTTGTTTCACGAGTTATAAAAGATCTGCCAACAAAGGTTTCGGGGGTCGGCAGATTCCTGTCTAGACTGCCGCGCTGTGCCGACAAACAGCTGATCGGCGCAGCATGGCGGCCATTTTGATTTAAATGAAGCAGTGATTATTTAAATTGCTGCTTCATTTCCCTTTGTTGTCCTGCCTCATCTACATGGCTTCGTCGACAGAGCCGTGTAGTCTAGACACACCCTATGGGACTGGATGAAGGGAGATACAAAGAAAGGGCATTTAATCTGTCTGTAACTCAGTTCCCCATTTGTAAAATAGTGATGATAACATTTCCTATGTCTGATTTCTCCATTCAGATTGTAAGGTTTGATGCACTCTCTGGAGTTACTTCAGAGAGTGAAAATTTCTTACCCACATGCCACTGACAGAGTAGCTCTTTGGGCCTTTCCCGCTTTTTTTGTTGCTGTTGGCTCTCTAGCTCTTTCTCTGGCTACTCAGTTCTCCTAAACCTTGGATCCGTGGAGAGGATGTAGGGAGTCTGTGTGGGCTTCCATCCACAGCTGCTTTATGCAACCCTATGGAGGAGACATGAGGAAGCCTTCAGTATCACTAACCTCAATGGGACCAGAAGGCAGATCTTCAGCTTCTGCAGCTTTCCCTGGTCCCATTCAAGGGACCAAGAGGAATCTTGAGGACTTGCTGGTTGGCACCTGCTAGAGCCACCAGCCCTATGGAGACTAAGGCTAAGTGTTTTATTCCCACTGCTCCTAGAGCTCTGCCCAACTCAGTCTGACTAGTGGAGTCTCCAACCCCTAATGCCCTAGTTAGAAGCCAGTGTTTTGTTTGGTCCTAAAGAGGGATCCTGGAGGGAGACTACCGGTCCCTTACTCCTCCACCTCATTTCTCTTACCTCCTTGCATATTCTATAGGAAACAAAACAGTCTTCTTCCTTGACTTCATTCCCCTTGATTTCTATGGTAATTATGCTTAGTAGGGAGTATTGGGATAGGCCCCATATCTCCTGCCTCCAAAATGCTGAGTTTTACTGTAAACCATCTGAGCGCATGACTCACTACAGTGTGTTGGGAAATGACACTCTTTGGAATGTGCACAGTTGCAAACCATGCTTTTCCAGCAAATAGAGTATATTTATGTTCACTTCTTCAGAGATAGCTTATATTATGGTGACAGTTTTACAGCCTTCCTTTACTGTCAGTGTCTTCCTAAAACATTCATCCAGTGAGGGGAAAAGTTCAAAATATATTAAAACTGTAGATGTGCCTAAACTGCAAAAGTTGTATCCAGATTATGAACCTCTTCCTACCCCCCCGTTTTGAATGAGATGAGATTATTCCACCAAAGTGAGGGTGGAGATCTACAAAGGTCAAAACTGGATCCAGGATCAGCTTCCAAATCTCTAAAATACGTAGGAGTTGTTCAGATCTGAATTTTGACTCATGCCCATCATTCCTTGTAAACTGTATTGTAAATTTACACTCACAGAAATAAAAAAGGATTTATCCGGACACGGCAGCTAACAACTCCAGCCTGCAAATTAGATCGTAAATTCTCAGCCTTTTCTTTCTTTTCATAATTGATAGATGATGTAAAATGTTACAAGGGACAAAAAAAACAAAAGTTGCCATCCACTCAGCAGGCTGGCTTCAGCTCTCTGTTCTGAAGTACAGAGTCAGCTTTGCTCCCTATGGTTTCTGTAAAGGGAAATTATGTCTTACTAATCTATTACAATAGTGATAGAAATGTAGCCGTGTTAGTCTGGTGTAGTTGAAACAACATACAGCACTAGTCTTTAAAGTGCTACATAGTCCTGTATTTTGTTTAATCTATTAGGGTATGTCTACACTACCCTCCAACTTCAAACTAGGAGGGTAATGTAGGCATACCGCACTTGCAAATGAAGCCCGGGATTTGAATTTCCCGGGCTTCATTTGCATAAGCCGGGCGCCGCCATTTTTAAATCCCGGCTAGTTCGAACCCCGTGCCGCACGGCTACACGCGGCACGGACTAGCTAGTTCCGATTAGGCTTCTAATCCGACCCGGGCTTCATTTGCAAGTGCGGTATGCCTACATTACCCCGCTAGTTCGAACTAGCGGGGTAGTGTAGACATACTCTAAGAGTTCTTTGAAGGGGTTAACAAACATGTAGACAAGGGGGATCCAGTAGATATAGTATACTTAGAATTCCAGAATGCCTTTGACAAGGTCCCTCACCAAAGGCTCTTGTGTAAATTATGTTGTCATGGGATAAGAGGGAAGATCCTTTCATGGATTGAGAACTGGTTAAAAGACAGGAAACAAAGGGTAGGAATAAATGGTAAGTTCTCAGAATGGAGAGGTGTAACTAGTGGTGTTCCCTAAGGGTCAGTCCTAGGACCAATCCTATTCAACTTATTCATAAACGATCTAGAGAAAAGGGTGAGTAGTGAGGTGGCAAAGTTTGCGGACAGTACTAAACTGTTCAAAATAGTCAAGACCAAAGCAGACGGTGAAGAACTTCAAAAAAATCTCACCAAACTGTGGGATTGGGCAACAAAATGGCAAATGAAATTTAATGTGGATAAGTGAAAAGTAATGCACATTGGAAAAATAACCCCAACTATACATAAAATGTGATGGGGGCTAATTTAGCTACAACTAATCAGGAAAGAGATCTTGGAGTTATTGTGGATAGTTCTATGAAAACATCCATACAGTGTGCAGCAGCAGTCAAAAAAGCAAATAGGATGCTAGGAATGGTTAAAAAACGGATAGAAAATAAGACAAAGAATATCTTACTGCCCCTATATAAAACTATTGTACACCCACATCTTGAATACTGCATACAGATGTGGTCTCCTCACCTCAAAAAAGATATTTTGGCATTTGAAAAGGTTCCAAAAAAAGCAACTAAAGTGATTAAGGTTTTGGAACAGGTCCCATATGAGGAGAGGCTAAAGAGACTGGGACTTTTCAGTTTAGAAAAGAAGAGACTGAGGGGGGATATGACAGAGGTATATAAAATCATGAATGGTGTGGAGAGGGTGAATAAATAAAAGTTATTTACTTGTTCCCATAATATAAGAACTAGAGGACACCAAATGAAATTAATGGGTAACAGGTTTAAAACTTATAAAAGAAAGTTCTCCTTCACACAGCTCACAGTCAACCTGTGGCACTCCTTGCCATAGGAGGCAGTAAAGGCTAGGACTATAACAGAGTTTAAAAAAGAGCTAGATAAATTCATGGAGGTTAGGTCCATAAAAGGCTATCAGCCAAGGGGTAAGGAATGGTGCCCGTGGCCTCTGTTTGTCAAAGGCTGGAGAAGGATGGCAGGAGACAAATTGCTTGATCATTGTCTTCAGTCCACACCCTCTGGGGCACC